TACAATCAATTAACAAAAGAAAACACCATAAAGCTGTGTATTGAAATATGACCAAGGTCAGTCTGTACAGATTGAGGAGACACCATAACATCTACCAACAGAGCAGGTTAACTACTGTAGTTGTTTGAAAGGTGTCTTAGTACAGTTGATGGCTCAGTTTGAAGCTTCAGGTTTTGGTATTGAACCTCCCAGAATCTCAGCTGCTGCAGATTGGCTGAAGATGCAGAAAAATGTACAAATAGACAGTTAGTGTCTGTTAGTCAATGAGACCTAGCATTAGAATGAAAATCTGGCATAGGAAGGTCTCTAGTAGTCTTGCAGTTCCTTTAAAAATTGTCATCTCATCAGTTTCTTCCTTTTTAGCTCTTCTCAAAGCATGCACCATATTGACTGGCTAAATAAATCTCAGAGCAGACATACGTTGCTTTAATAGCAAGATCTCCATGCAGCCACAAAGCATTCAGGAACTTCATACCTGTACTGCTGTTAAACTGCCAATAAATAATGTGACTTATGTGTTTAATATTCAGCTTGCCTCCCAGTATTGTGGTAAGATTATACCTTCTTTATTCTGTCACCATGGCACAAAAGTTTGCTTGACAAAAATAGGAACACCACGATTATGACTCATATCCATTTTAACTCTTGCTAAGATGGAGGATTAGGTGCTAATGTTTGGGGTGTGTCCTAGAGGTGGAATAATTACTACACTACCCTCCTGACCTAAATAAATATTTAAACCGGTGATATAAAAAAAATATTTTTACAGTTTTTCTCAGTTGTTTTGTCAATGGAAGACAGATGATGAATAGGAGAAGATTAATAAATTATACCTCTACTCACTGAGTGACTGATGTACTGCTCCATTTTCCTTCTCACATTAGGAAAGATTACAGAGACAACTTGTGGGTAGAAGATCTCTAGCCAGCAGATTAATGGCCCAGTCACAGGCCAAATGGGAAGGGAGAGAAAGAACTGTCTTTTTGCTGAACAAAATGGATAACTTCAGCTGTTTTTTTATGCTCAATTTAAATGAGATTTATATCTTTCCAGCCAGGGAACCCCCTAAAAACTACAAGTGCACAGGAAGAAGAACTGTAGAACTGATACCCACAGTGATAACCTGAGATCAGCCAAAAAGATTCGGTCTGGTGTTTTTTTTTTTCCCCAACCTTTATTAGACCAGGATTAAAACACCATTAAGATTAAAAATCTCTTCTCCAAAGAAGTCCTGGATAACGGGCAGCAACAAATACAAAACGAAAAATTACACAATTAATTTTTGAAGGTGATTAAAAACTGTCTGTTAGTTTCCAAAACTTTGAGAGGCAATGACAAGGTTTGGATAACTATGTCAAAATGGGAGACAAGACCCTGATCAATAAAGCGATGTTCACAATCCAGGCTCATCTTCCAAAACCACCTGACCTTCACAAATAAATGTACTGCTCAAAAAAATAAAGGGAACATTTCACTTTAATTTTGGGGGTGGCTCCAAATCCAGGCCTCCATTGGTTAATAAATTTGATTTCCATTGATTTTTGTGTGATTTTGTTGTCAGCACATTCAACTTTGTACAGAACAAAGTATTCAATGAGAATATTTCATTCATTCAGATCTAGGATGTGTTATTTGAGTGTTCCCTTTATTTTTTTGAGCAGTGTATTAATGCTAAAGCAAATATAAATTATTTGACCAAATGCATATCAAGTTAGGAATTTATTACCAAATAATATTTTCTAGATTCTGAAATGTTTAATGGCCCCCTCCCTCAAAAAAATAAAAAAATTTAAAAAAAATTCAGGACGTGAATATTGTGATGCAGCAGCTCATTGCTCATTAGAGCGGATCTTCTTTTTTTTGTAGATTTGTATGTGATTATAATAACAAACACACAATTTCATTATAAAGATTTATTTTTATTGTACAATAATTATATTTGAACATGTAGAAATCACTATTTATATTGGCAAGAAGAAGAGATAAATTGCTGTTAGGGTCCCCCTGGTGGCCGCGGTAGGTCACGCTTCACCTGTATGAACTGCCGTGCAATTTGCAGTGCGCATCCATCCAAACCTCCAAAGCACTAGTGGAAGATAACAAGGAAAACAATGTCGTAAAAAATGACTTATTCTACAGAGACAGAGAAAAGAAAGAGGGAAAATAAAAAAGCCAAGATAAAGGTATGTTTACATCTCTTGGTAATATAATGATTATAAAAAGATTTGTGCATCAACTATCAAGCTAATTTTAGCTGTCAAGGACCTTGAATTGTCCAGTTCAACAGCCAAACATTTATGCTAGCGTCTTTGTGTGAAAGTGAGTTTTAACTTTAAATGATTTAATTTTGGTGTTTGTTCTTTTTTTTTTTTTTTTTTTTTAGTTTTTTTTTCTTTTCTTTTTTTTTTTGCTTCAAAACGGCAGGTTTGATAACGTTTGATAACAATAATTAAAACTTCTCAATGTTTGACTTTGTCTAGAAAAAATATTTTTACATCTGGTACATGGCTTGTACTGCACTGATATAGCGAAAGGCTACACAAAACTGTATTTGGCTTAGCTGTATTTTGACTCTATTTCGCTTAGTGCCACATTCAGGTTTAGGCAGGCCCTGTCAACATGCATAAGGTTTTCTCCCCTTCAGGCTTTTTGCTTGCGACTGCAGCTTTCAGCCAGTAGATGTCACCAGTCAATTTTATTTGAAGTGTCCCGGCTTCAATTCCATTTTTATTTCAAGAACAGTCGTCACAAGTCACACCCCAGCGTATAGTAGGCTATACTATGACTATTGAAAGTATATTAATCAGAGAAAATTTGTCAATCTCAAAGAGTTGGTAGGTATTTGTTTTCTGATCATATAATAAATTAAAGCCTACAATTAAAATCAAAATAGAGTTTTCAAAACAGTTTATGCAGCAAAATAAAAATATACATTTTTGAGATAGACTTTAAACACTAACGCAGTCACTGAATTAGCTGCCGCAATTAATTTGAAAACAGTATCAATCAAAACAAATGATTGATTCCAGTCAATTTTACTCAAAAATTGTTTTGAGTAAAAAGATTCTGGATTGTTTCTCCTGTTACCTTTAATGACATTTTGTACCTCAAGAGTAAAGTAATATGGGCTCTGTCATGGTCCACTTTATTCCTAAATTTAAAATTAATTAGGGTGTTAATGGTATATTCAGGGAGGTGGTTGGCCTACTTTACAAAGCATGACACCCTTTTCCATCAACCATATAGAAATTCTTTAAAAGACAAATAACAAATGGTTTAATAGTAATTAAACCATTTGTTTAATTATTTTTTGTGTATATTCTGTTTTAAGTAACATTTGGAAATCATATTGTCATATGATATGCTGATCTCAGTATTTTTGAAAGGGATTGAACATATTTGTCCACAATCTTCCAGGCTTATGTAAAAATGTTTTTTTTTTTTTTTTTTTAAGCTTTACAACATGTGGGCAACTGTGACTGTGTGGGTAGAATAGTTGTCTTGCGATCGGAAGGTTGTAGGTTTGAGTCCAGCTTTTTCCTGCCATGTGCCCTTGGGCAAGGCACTTAAATCAAAATTGCCTACCGATCTGCGTATTGGTGTATAAATGCGTGCATGTTTGTGAGTGCGAATGGGTGAATGTGATTCTAGTGTGAAGCGCTTTGAGTGGTCAAAATGATTGGATAAAGCGCTATATAAGTTCAGTCCATTTATCAATGTTATTTTCTCAGCAAGTCATACCCGGAGTGTTGCTTTGATTATTTCATGCATGTTTGAGAAATCCTTTACTCTCCTATAGTAGTGATTCACCTGTGCAAAACCAAGCACCGCTTTCAAGGACAAAGCTCTTTCATGGAGTTGCAACTTACAAGCTTCTGAGCTTCCTTCTCACAGAGAACCCGTCCCTTGGAACTCTGAGCTCCTTCAGACTAGCCATCACTAATTAGCAAACACCTGGTGGAAATAAACATCTAAGGAGCTCAATGCAAACTACTTCTCAGTGCAATGCTAGTAAAAGAATATTGTGAAAGGGTAAATAGAGGAGCAAAGTTGAATGTGGAGTATTAAACTTCTTTAAAGAGATAAAGATCCAAGGCATTAAATTACAAAGTCAAATTTCATTTACGTCATGTTTGATATTCACCACCACTTTCATAACAACTGAAAAAAAAACTTAGTTACTTGATTGTGCAATAAAAAGATTATATGTAGCTGAAAAACACATAATACATAAATTAAAGTGCATGGTTTGAAAAAGACAAAATATTAAGTGACCCATTAATCTGTTGGGAGGACATTGCCTTGTGCTTGTAAGTGGTCTGATAATATGAATGCTGTCAGTTTCAGTATGTATGGTCAGAATTAGATATAAAAAAAACCCCAAGAAGAATATTGTTGCTGAAAACATGCTTTTCTGACAGATGCATAGCCTGTCTTTGGCATTGGTTTTGGTCTTGGAACTCGAATGTGTATGATGCCACACAAATTTAATGGGTTAGCTATTGAAAATGCCATAAAACCAAGTTAGTCTGAATAATTTCTTTCCATTCTTTATTGATAAATATTTATGTTAAATACAATAGTATTCAAGACAGTTAAAAATTGGTCACAACTATGAAAAGCACATTCATTTCTGGAACAGGCGTAATAAATAAAATGCTTACAATATATATTGTTAAAAAATAAAAACTGTACATTAGAATTGTTGCCTAAATTTTTATACAGCTCATTAGGTCCTGCAAGACAGTTTTAAGCAAAAATAAAATCTAATGAAAGGAAAATGTGGAAACTGAACCAACCAGAACAGGCGGCTGTTCTGGTTGGTTAAGCAGTTGTTGTATGCTTAAATTATTTTTATTGGATATTAGTATTACATTTAAGTACATGTACAAAGCAAAAAAAGGATAAATTAAATTACCATGATAAATAATAGTATTACATTTAAGTACATGTAAAAGCAAAAAAAGGATAAATTAAATGACCATGATAAATAAGAATAAATAATGAAAAACTCCTAGAGATGATTGTGAAGATTTTTAGTCCAATTTTCAGTTAAAAAAAGCTACTGTAATGACTGCTGTGAGCAAAAGAAAACTTATTTTATGACTCCCTGCTGAAGAAGCAGTTGTAGTTGGGAAAACAGTGGTTGTTGGTGGAGCAGTTGTTGTTGTAGATGCTGCAGCAGTTGTGGTGGTAGAAGTTGCAGTTGTTGTTGAGGTTGGAGCACCAGATGTTGTGGTTTGAGCAGCTGTTGTTGTGGTTGGTGCAACAGTGGTTGATGTGGTTGGAGTAGCTGTTGTTGTTGAGGCAGCTGTTGTGGTTGAAGAAGGAGTTGTAGTTGGAGCAGCTGTTGTGGTTGGCGCAACAGTGGTTGTTGTGGTTGGAGCAGCGGTTGTAGTTGTTGGAGCACCTGTGGTTGTTGGGGAAACTGTTGTTGTGGTTGGGACAGATGTGGTTGTTGGGGCCACTGTTGTTATTGTTGGCGAAGCAGTGGTTATTGTTGGGGCAGTGGTTGCTGTAGTTGGAGGAGCTGTGGTTGTTGTTGGGACAGCCATTGTTGTGGTTGGAGAAGTTGTGGTTGTTGTTGGGGCAGCCGTTGTTGTGGTTGGAGCAGTTGTGGTTGTAGCAGTGGCTGTTGTGGTTGGGACAGCTGTAGTTGTTGCTGAGGCAGCTGTTGTTGGAGCCACAGTGGTTGTGGGTGGAGCATCTGTTGTAGTTGGAGCAGCGCTGGTTGTAGTTGGAG